TTTCTCAAACTGCGAGAAGTTTGAAGACTGAAACGACCTGTGGTTACACAACAATCGCAATTTAAATGTAATAAATGTAATCACGTGGACACCCCCGCACCGCCCCCCCCCACCCCCCCCACCCCCACCCCCAATCTAATCTGCCTTCGTGGTGAAGTCATTCAAGATTGTGGGCGAGGGAACTCAGGTCGGGCAAACAAGTCACATTTACTGTCATGCCGTTTGGAAGGAGCAAAGAACGAGAGGTAGGGAAATAATTTTGGTAAGGTAAGCTAAGTTCCCAGTGTTGATAGGCATCTTGTTGATCCGAGATACTGTACACATGGGGTAAACGAGTAAAAGCCGTTATTTCTGGTCGAGTTGGTCCAGAAACCCAACCCCAGTCGATTACTGTTGATCATGTATGGCGTCCTTGTTACGTATCCATGCTTATTTTAAAATTTAATCCGCTCATGAGTGCGAATTGACTCCTTTGTGGTCGAGGTTGCCGAAAAGCGTTACCATCACCCTCGTTATTCCGGAAATTTGTTAATACGAATGATTTCACTTGAACGACGCCGTCTGGATTAACGGGGTACACTGGTATTTCTGTAAAAAGGTGCATGTCTTGTAGGAAGATTATGCATTTACGTTTCACTCTTTCACATCTGTGTATATTTCATAAGAAACTTTAAATGTTCAGTCGTGAGTGAGTGAGTTGGGTTTAACGCCGCTTTTAACAGTATTACAGTTATATCGCGGCGTGTCAGCTTAATGTGGGAGGAAAGCCCGAAGTGATGCAGGTCTCAGACGTTTACTACTTCGGTGAAACCCACGAGCACGGGTATGGTGCTTACAAACCTAGAAACATAATCGGGGCGAACCATAGGTTTCCGGCGTATCCAAGGGACAGCAACTCTGCACAGCGAATCGCGGCGCCTTAGACGACTGGGCCACCCGTGCCCTCTTAAATGTTCAGTAGCATTGCGCACTGTACTGTACACGGCGTGGCCCTTGTGAACCTTGTTTCTTATAATCACTAATGCTAGGATATTGACGTGTAAGCCATATGTTAAACGTGTGAGGCATTCACAACACGTGGCAGCCGATGTTGCTCCATATTACAGTAAACTATGGTTATAACGAACACGCTTATAACGAACTGACGGATATAACGAACTTACTTTTTTGGTCCCGACTATTTGCTGTTGTTATACTGTATATATGCTTATAACCAACTACGGTCATAACGAACTAAAATTAGTAGTCCCTTTGAGTTCGTTATAACCGTACTTTACTGTACTCAAAAGAAGTGAAGGACCAACCGATTCTTTCATGTCATCTTGTGACATATTAACTATAGTAATATGAAAGAACGGCCCTTCACTTCTTTGATATCGTTTATGTTGAAAGTGTTATGTCAAAACACCTGGGTATACCAAATGATATAATCGATGAAGTAAATGACATTATTGCTTATCTGACCTAGGCATTTCAGATACAAGATACTAGTGATTCTGGGAGAGTGAATAATCACGGACATAAACTCATGCACATGTGTAAAAATAACTCACTGTTTATTGGAAATGGCAGAGTTGGTCAAGATAAGGTTGTTGGGCAAAATACCTGTTAACATTGCTGTGTTATGATTATACCGTCTCTTCTCTAGGCACTTTAAAATATGTTTCTGATTTTGAAGTTGACAATTTTGATCCTATTTTATCTGATGCCCATTGCGGTCTGAAATTGCTTTCAAAATGCGAATCAACGAATGTTAACAATATCACAGGTCAAACCCAATCAACAAGGGACATCTGTCAATCAAACTCTGAAATTGACAACACTGACTCCACGTGCATCCCGAGACGCTGGGATAAGGGGCACGCTGACGATTTTGTACAATCAATGAAAAACAGTGACATTTCTCCTCACAGTGATTCCTTGGTGCCCGGTGATATTTGTAATGGCGATATAAACCTTATTGTACATAATATTAACAGCATTTTCTTACTCACAGCAATATCAGCATTTGGCCTGAAGCGTGTCAATCATGGTATCCGCCGGAGATACCCGGATGTAATAGATCTGAGCCCTGGTTCGGACGACACTGTAAGATCAGTAGGGGACGGTATCACCAGGCAAAACGGAATTTTAATAAACATAAAAGTTTACAAAACAAAACTCAACTTTTAAAAAGTAATAGACGTTGTAAAAAAAACCCTTCTCAAATTCTATAATTGTCATCACTTCAAAATGCAAATCAATATTTCTAATTTACGGATAAATGACACCCGCACATTTTGGAAAATGTTACGTTAAAGAGATAATGATGCAAATTTGCCACCAATCGATACACTTTTTGACTATTTCAAAAACCTAAATGCAGATAATCTAGACTCTATCCCTGATGACTCGACTGATTTTAATATTAACTTTGATGTCAATAATTGTAATGATACCTTAAACATATATGCGAAAAAGAAATTGAATACGCCATCAAACTACTAAAGAATAACAAGGCACGTGGCAAGGATAACATTACCAATGAATATATTAAGGCTTCGGTGCCAACATGTTTACCCTTGTACACCAGACTATTTAAACGGAATTATCGTCCGATCTACAAAGGTAAAAGAGTGAGTGAGTGAGTGAGTTGGGTTTAACGCCGCTTTTAACAGTATTACAGTCATATCGCGGCGTGTCAGCTTAATGTGGGAGGAAAGCCCGAAGTAATGCAGGTTTCAGACGTTTACCACTTCGGTGAAACCCATGAGCACGGGTATGGTGCTGACAAACCTAGAAACATAATTGGGGCGAACCGGGATTCGAACCCACAATCATAGGTTTCTGGCGTGCCCAAGGGGCACAACTCTGCACAGCGAATCGCGGCGCCTTAGACGACTGGGCCACTTGTGCCCCCCAAAGGTAAAAGAAGTCCAGATGACCCTGGAAACTTCCGCCCCATAAGTCTTATAAGTTGCCTCGGAAAACTGTCTACCACAGTTATTAATAAAACATTAAACAATTATGTTGAAAAGTAATAACATTCTGCCAGATTCACAAGCGGGTTTAAGCGGGCTACTCCAGAAATGATCATATTTTTACCCTGTATGCAATTATTGATTTCCTAAAAAATAGAAAGACAAAAATGTATTGTGGTTTCGTTGATTTCCAAAAGTTTTTGACAATGTTTGGCGTATAGGTTGATGGAAAAAATATTACCACAAGGTATTGATTGTAAACTTATTCGTATTACTGTTAATTTGTACGTTGGCATTAAATCATGTGTGTGTATATTCAGAACAATTCCTTTGTCTTATTGGTGTCCGTCAAGGAGAAAATCTGTCCCCAATATTGTTTTCATTGTTTCTAAATGATCTGGAACCGTTTTTATTGTCTCAAAACTGCCCTGGTGTTTCTATTCAATCTCAGTCACTTAATGGTCTGTTGAATCTCTCCGTTGTTTTGTTCGCATTGCAGATGATACAGTTTTGTTAGCTTTTAATAATCAAAATTGACAAAATATACTTGATATTTTTTCGCTTTACTGCAAAAAAATGGAGATTGCATATCAATAACTAGTAAAACAAAAAATATAGCTTTTGGTGGTACAAAAAGAGACAAGAGTAAACATATATTATTAAATGGCAAAGAACAAAAGTTATCAAGAATTCTATATCAAATGTTATGTAATGAAGTCTGTACAAACAATAGCTGTCATAAATAGATATTTTATTAAAATGTTTGGAAAGTATTTTCAAAGAAACGGGCTACAGTTTCTATTGGTTAAGCCAACAAGCAGTTCCTCCTAATGTCCTTAAATCTATCATGTCGTTAAGATTATCTGATATAGCAACTCAAACATGGAGTGCAGAGATTACACATTCTCCTAAGGGTATCACATATCGCGTATTTAAAACTGAACTCGTCCTTGAAAAGTATTTATTAGTTATCCCTTTCTCGTTGGCTGTAAAATTCCTTCTGTTTAGAACCTCATGCCACCATTTACTGGGTAGGTGGCACTAAATCCCTGTCAATGAACGAACGTGTAAACTTTGCGACATGAGCGATGTTGGTGATGAATCCTGTTCTAACGTCATGATATTCCTGGTTTCTGTTACAGTCCACTCTGTCGGGGCTAAGGTATTGTCGTCATGGTATTCCTGGTTTCTGTTACAGTCAACTCTGTCGGGGCTGAGGTATTGTCGTCATGGTATTCCTGGTTTCTGTTACAGTCAACTCTGTCGGGGCTGAGGTATTGTCGTCATGGTATTCCTGGTTTCTGTTACAGTCAACTCTGTCGGGGCTGAGGTATTGTCGTCATGGTATTCCTGGTTTCTGTTACAGTCCACTCTGTCGGGGCTGAGGTATTGTCGTCATGGTATTCCTGGATTCTGTAATCGTCCACCCTGTCGGGGCTGAGATATTGTCGTCATGGTATTCCTGGTTTCTGTTACAGTCCACTCTGTCGGGGCTAAGGTATTGTCGTCATGGTATTCCTGGTTTCTGTTACAGTCCACTCTGTCGGGGCTAAGGTATTGTCGTCATGGTATTCCTGGTTTCTGTTACAGTCCACTCTGTCGGGGCTGAGGTATTGTCGTCATGGTATTCCTGGTTTCTGTTACAGTCCACCCTGTCGGGGCTGAGATATTGTCGTCATGGTATTCCTGGTTTCTGTTACAGTCCACTCTGTCGGGGCTGAGGTATTGTCGTCATGGTATTCCTGGTTTCTGTTACCGTCCACCCTGTCGGGGCTGAGATATTATCGTCATGGTATTCCTGGTTTCTGTTACAGTCCACTCTGTCGGGGCTAAGGTATTGTCGTCATGGTATTCCTGGTTTCTGTTACCGTCCACCCTGTCGGGGCTGAGATATTATCGTCATGGTATTCCTGGTTTCTGTTACAGTCCACCCTATCGGGGCTGAGGTATTGTGGTCATGGTATTCTTTGTTTCTGTTATTGTCCACCCTGTCGGGGCTGAGACATCGCGTCATTGTATAATTTCTTGTTTCTGTTACAGTCCACCCTGTCGGGGCTGAGCGGGTGTTTTATGTCCACCTACAAGATCCAGGCCAACTACGTGTACTCCGAGAAGCACTTCCTCTATGTCGACAACCTCAGCAAGGTCGAACAACTTCCCCCTCCTCATCCGCCATCTTGTTCTAAAGAAGACATCTTTGATCCAAGAGACTTTGTGGATATTGATAGACGAGCTGACGCGGTGAGTCCACGATGTGTGTTCATGCCAAATGCACCCTTAAGCCTCAGCTACCAGTATCTGAAAACTGTATTGCAATTAAACGCTTGACAAATATGTAATTGGTCCAAAAAATAATGGTACACTGGACATTAGATATTTTGAAAATAATGTGTCATGCCCCCACCTCGACCTCCACCGAGAATACCAAATGGTCGGTCCTTATAGAACTAAGAACATGCCCAGAAGTTATTTGATCAAGGTTACAACGTTCAAGGCCCCAGTAAAGCTTTCAAAATGTTTTATGGTAGACATGTGGAGTACATTTCCAAATTTGATAAATATGATGTCCGATGTAATTTCCTATTTTGACTTATATGTACCATATGTCCCCGTGTTGTTTTAATGTGAACAATTGACTTACCTTTGCATGTGTTTGTGACGTGTGTCCCCGGTGGTGCAGAATATGCTCACCTTTTCGAGAATACCTGGTATCATTACTAGTTGAAAGTGATTCATAAACACATGCTCATGATATAGTCCGAATTGTAAACCACGATGACTTCGTGATCCGCCAATGTTCTTCATCCCCAGGCACCTAGCAGTCTCCTGAAGGAACCGTACCCCAAGCTGATCTCCTACTTACTCGAGGAGCCCAAGGTCAAGTCAAAGGACAAGAACCAGACTCAGGACAAGGACCACGAAGTGCTGACCAAAGTGCGGGCTATCTACAGATGGGTGACTGCGCAACATGTCGACACGATGACCATGCCGAAGAAGTCCCCCGATCCCACCACACCGTTGTTTCAGTTCTGGAGGATCAAGAACAAGAAGGGGAACTTTGCTCAGCTTGTCAGTATTCTGTGCAGGTGAGCTATTCCTAGTACTGGGACGTGGCCAACTCGGGTCCTCTCTGCATATTTCGTCAAAATAGCGGGAAGGAATGCCAGTGATGGAGTAGTGATATCGTATGACAGACAGACAGTCATGTTTATTCAGTAAAAGGCCAATGGCCCAAAATACAGACATGTGAGCATGACATTTACAGGGCACAGAATTTATCATTAATTATTTTGTGAGCATAATATAAGAATTTACAAACTAGAAATAATGTTTGCTCATTATAATTACTAAGAATATTTATTACATGAAAATTACTGTAATGAGTAGGCATAGGAAGATTAACAAGGTATTTTTGTCTCAGGGCAGAAAATAAATTACAATTAAAGAGTACATGGAATTCATCCTCAATGACATTAACTCCCTTACTACTACAATAGTTACAGAATCTGAGTGAACGGTCTGTTTTACTATATCTGCCAGTTTCTAAAGCTATTTTAAAATTTGAACATCTGAATTTAGTAAAAACAATTCTTAAATGGGTATCGTATGACTTCACTGTAAAGTAAAATTGTCAATGACAGATAATAATAATAATAATCAGTCTCCATTATCTGGACGTAAAAGGCAAAACAGCAATGCAAATTATATGAATGGATCACTGAAAAATCATTGCGTTGGGACACATTCAACTGGGACATTTCGTACCTGTTTTGAGAATAGTAAACCCCACCCTTCCACCCTCCACCCAGTACATTATAAGATCGGTTCCTTATCTTTGCATCAACTTGCAATAGAAAATCACATGATGATTATTACTTAAATAAAAGTAAAATATTTGTAATCAGCATTGCGTTGCAATAGCGTTGTACCGCATGGGGATTCGGGGTTAGGACAGGCACCTGTCTACCAATGCAGTAAGAGGCAATTTAATGGATCAAGTGATCAGTTTTGGCATCTTTCCGAGGCAAGAGAGTTTCCACCCTTGCCGAATTAGGCTAGAATTCCTGGGCTCGATCGTAGCGCCACCAGTGGCTATTACGAGTTATGTCCCCTCTATGCCTCTCCTATGAACCAATCAGATTCCACCTCTCGTACCACTTGCATTTGCTCAAACAAAATGGCGGCGACCGGCCAAGACGATCTTATCTATAATCAAGATCTATATTGTGATAAAACGGGTCTTACATCGCGAAATACATCAAATCACGTTAGCACCTTGATTAAAATCATGAAAAGATCTGGAAATATCTGTTGACAACGTTTTGGCAGTACAAATGATTTGCAAATCCTGCAATCGACGGATATCTGCATGACAGTTTGCGAACAGAATTTCGATTTCGTTGCGCGATTGTGACTGGACTATGCATAGACTCGTTAGTCCAGCCAAACTGTAATTCCATAATACCAGCCTAGTTTGGCAAGGGGGGAAACTGGACTTTTATAGTTAGTTAACGCTGTTGCCTTGGGAAGATGGGTTTCGGTGACATGGTTAATTGCGTGTCATTGTATCCGGACGGCGTGGATCATTTCTCATAATACCAATCACTGGATGGTCTGGTCCAGACAGGCCGACGTCATATAGCTGGAATATTAAATGACAAAGAAACTAACAATAGCGTTGTATTTAATAATTTACAAGTTAAAATCAGGAAAATAAGAGTTGAAAATGTATATACTTGCACATTGTAGGCTGGCTAATGTTACGTGCGTGATCATCCACGGCAAGATGAAAGGTTCAACCTACGATGTAGGACAACCAATAGACGACAAGCTCCATTACGGTGAATGGAACGCTGTTCTGATTGGTGGAGACTGGTGGCTACTCAACACCTACTGGGGTGCCTGTGCCGTGGGAAGTTCCGGTGGGGATGAATGGCTGGATAATGACGGAAAAGAAGAATCGCTTGATGTAGATGCTCCCCAAAAGAAAGGTTTCATGTTTACCTGTGACGAGAACTACTTCTTATGTGACCCCAGACAGATCATCTCAACCCACCTTCCTGCCTGTCCACAGTGGCAGTTACGGTCAACGCCCATAACACCCGAGCGGTTCGAGGAGATGGTTTTCCTGAAGGATCGTTTCTTCAATCTTGGCATGTCCGTCCTCTCACACAAAGACTGTGTCATTACATCCACGACTGGAGAAGTCGAGATATTCTTTGGATTAAGAAAAGATGCCATTCATCATAAATATTACTGTTTGTTATTTAGGCAAGAAGGAAAGACGGTGCAAGGATTTTCTCCAAAGTATGATCGGTATTTGTTGCTTCAGAGACCCAAATCCGATCAGCTCAGCATTAAAATCAGGTCCCCTGTGGCGGGAACGTTTAGACTGGAGCTTGTCGGTATGGACACAAGAAACAAGTCTCCAGGCTATGATTATGACTGGATATGTTTGTACAAGATCAAGTTCACAAAGGCTAAGGCGCGATGCCAGCCCTACCCAGATCAACCAGCTCTTGGATGGGGTCCAGGGCTCACACTGAAGGAGATGGGTCTGACACCCATCTCACATAGCAGTGGGATGATCAGAGCAGATTCTGGTGGAGAGGCTGAAGTGGAGTTTGCTATACATGACAAAGAAAAGCTGAAAAATATGAAATTCATTGGTCGAATTTCCAAAGGTGGAGTAAAAGAGGAAAAACTTAAGGACAGGGTTGTGTACAGAACTGAAGGAGATCGCATCATCTTTAATGTGCGTCTACCTAGGAAAGGGGAGTATGCCCTTAAACTGTACGCCACAAAAGACGAGAAGGAACATATGGATGAAAACATCTGTAATTACATTGTAGTGTCTGAGCAGAAGAAATCCAAGGATGCATACCCTAGAGGATTTGACAAAGGAACTGGCCTTGGGAAGATTGATGTGAGCTTGGGCATTGAACCCCTGTCACACAAGACCGGTATAATCAAGACTGCTGTTGATGAAGTGAAGCTGGACTTTCAGCTGACGAAGCCAGTGGAACACTCCTGTTCTCTTGTTGGGACAGAGTTGATGATCTCTGACGCAAAGAGACTAGTGTCCGAGGAAGTGAACGGGGACATTGTCACATACACAGTGCGACTCCCAAAGTTGGGTAATTACGGCTTTAAGCTGATAGCTAAACCCACTGAGGGAGGAGTATTTGAGAATGTTGTGGACTATGTAATATCCTATGTGAGGGCAGACGAGGAAATCAGGACCCCCATCATCTTGACCAACATTGAAACGCCAGTAGAAACACCAGGACCTGAAGGTAAGGTATTGCATATAGATATTCAGTAATTAATGCATTTGATGGAGAAACCGGAACTCGAAATGTCTGTTTTAGATATAGCTATTGCTGTACACCTAGCTATATAATCAAATGACAGATGAACTATAATAATGTCAAAGTATCAGGAGGTCTATTTCAACATTTCTTTCAACAACTGTTTTTAGAAATGAGATAATTGATGTGCATGCTCATGTGACACCTTTTTTGTTTTTCATACGGTAGCAATGCATTAAAGTTCATCATCATCGTCATCATCTGTCATTATCATATCCTTTGTTACAAATTTATTGCTTAAAAGACTGAACAGCCTTCAAGGTGTAGTGGATAGAACATCTGCCTGGAGAGAGGAAGGTTGGTGGTGTGATTCCCTGGCCACGTCATATCAAAAGACGTTAAAAGATAGTACTTGTTCTTATTCTGCCTGGCGCTCAGCATTATGGGGTTAAAACAACACTAGGGCCCACTTGCACAAAACGATCTTAAAGCTAAGTGAGTGAGTGAATGAGTATGGTTTTACGCCGCTTTTAGCACTATTCCAGCAATATCACCGCGGGTAACACAAAAAATGGGCTTCACACATTGTACCCATGTCGGGAATCGAACCTGTGTCATCGGCGAACGCTTTAACCACTAGGCTACCTGACCGCCCCCTTAAAGCTAAGATTATCGTTACTACCATCCTTTAATTTTGGCTTAAAATAGTTGTAGCGCTAAGCCCTGGTCTGCTCGCAGTTATTATACTGTGTATAGTTGGTATCCAATGCTAAACTGCAGCTTGGTATTTCAGAGAACTCACCTTTTAAAACTATCCGTATTAGAGAGTGAGTGAGTGAGTGAGTGAGTGAGTTGGGTTAAACGCCGCTTTTAACAGTATTCCAGTTATATCGCGGCGTGTCAGCTTAATGTGGGAGGAAAGGCCGAAGTGATGCAGGTCTCAGACGTTTACCTCTTCGGTGAAACCCACGAGCACGGGTATGGTGCTGACAAATCTACAAACGTAATTGGGTCGAACCGGGATTCAAACCCACAATCATAGGTTTCTGGCGTGCCCAAGGGACGCAACTCTGCACAGCGAATCGTGGCGCCTATGACGACTGGGCCACCCGTATTAGTAGTGAATTAATCTTGACTGCAAAGTTAAACCCCATGTAGATAATAATGTTGATGTACAATAATTGTTAACCATCAATTTTTGTATTAAGATGAACCCGAGGAGGAAATCAAGAAACGGATGGATGTTGCCATAGTGACACAGGATGAGGAGGAACTAGTCAAAGCTATAGCAGACATGAAGGAGGTGACAAATAGTACAAGGTCAGCTCGCAAAGAAAAGATTCTCAAGAAATCATCTGAGAAGACACCACGTGATGAAAATGGCAATACCGACGCAAAGACACCACGGAACAACAAGGAAACACCCCGAAAAGATAAAACACCACGTGATGAGAATGACAATACTGATGCAGTGGCACCTGAGAACAAAGAAAAAACACCTCGAGATTGCAAGACACCACGTGGTGAGAATGAAACGCTTAGAAATGAAGAGACACCACGTGGCGATAAGAAAACACCTCGAGATAACAAGACACCACGTGATTTAACCACAGTAAATGACGATACAAATGATGTTGGCAGAATCAAACTTGACAAAATCATCCCACGCGACAAAGAAGGAGAAAGCATCCCTATCCCTAATGGTAATGCTGTGCTCCCGGCAATCTCTGTTGTGGCGCCACTGGAAGAGGAACCAGAAGTGATAAAGGGCATGATTGAGGAAGTGGATGCCCAGGAGAAGGAAAGGGCCGAGCTAGCCAAAGAGGAACTTGCACGTGCAGAACGAGAATTACAGATCATTAAGGTCCGGAAAGGTATGTATTACTTCAGAGGATTTTTATTATCTATTCCAAATAAGCAATGCATAATTGTGACATAAGTAAGCTGCAGTGAACTATGGTAGTGAACACTGTGCAGGCGTTCTCTTATTGAACCCGTTTGCGAGACAGGTCTTCAGTGTCACCTTCCAACAATTAAACATTATCCATGTGCCCTTCAAGTATAAAGGAATTTCTGTACAGTAGCATGCAAATTGCTGATGTTTGTTAATTTACGTTCATTGAATTTCCATTTCAAAAATGATGTCAAAGTAAACAACAAAATCAATGAGCGATTCATGTATTAAAAAGTGTGTCAAATATTGAAACAAAGTCCATGAAAAATAGACATGTTTTCAATTAATTAAAAAACACATTTCACATTCACACATTTTAACTGTACCTGCCATTTAACGCCCCTAAAAATAATACGATTAAACTGTGTCTATATTGAGACAATCCCTCCATGGCTTGGTTGGGTGCATGTCATCGTGCACAAAGGTGTGTAATGTTGCTCAGTATATTAATCTGTCTGTCCACACTCTAATTTACAGGCCATCGTCATTAGCTTGGATAGTGCTGGCTGTGGCATAAAACGGAACTACATGGTCTAACATTATTCATTATCCTAAACAATCTCACAAATAATTACTGCTTTCAAAAATGCCAGCCGCATCGCACACACTTAATCTTTATAAATTGATAACGTTATGCAGTTGCATATAATCAGTCTCGTATGGGTACTACTATTACCTCACTAATTTGTCTGTGTGTCATCAGAGTTAATGGAAGCTATTGCAGCACGTGAGCTCCAGCGCCTCATAGCGATCACGACAATGATACGAGACAAGAACTACCAGTCCGCCATGATGGATGAGATGAAGAAAGCCAAGAGTCTGATCGAGAGGCTCCAGCACATCAGGAAACTGTTGCACGCCGTTCTGGAACTGGACCAGAACACTGTGGCTGAAATCAAAGGATATGCCGCCCCTCCACCTGCAGTAAGCAAGGTGCTCAGTGCAACGCTGCTCATACTGGGGCATTTCGTGGAGGAGACAAAGGTACTGGACATAGAGAGGATTTGTCACATCTTGGGAATATTGTGTGATGCGACCCAAAAGTATAAATATCTTGATTCTAGTTCAATATAATTGATGTTGATATTCATTTTCATCACTGAAAAACACGAGTGAATACAAAGCTTCAATTGTCACAGTTCAAGATCAAGGTCACACTCTTTTTCCTTCACATTTCTGTGAACTGACCCATTTTTCATACTATGCCAAATGTTTTGCATCTATGTTTATTTAGACACAAACATCTGGAATCAATGTCTAAATTTTATCGTGACGTTGAAGAAATATTTTGTTGGTGTCACATTCAATGAATGGGGCTTATTATAAGTAGTTCCTTCCAGATGACCTCAATTGCAAATTATTTTGATTCTGGTACCAAGCTTAATATCAAGTTTGTTTATACTATCTATTTATCCATCTAAAATAAAGTTGTTGGGCAGCCTCGTGGTTAAAGCATTGGCTTGTTAACTTTGGTGTCCTCCACTGATATATGGAATGGAAAACGGCTAAATGTGGTGTAAAACTAAACCGAATAATTTGTATACAATAACGGCACAATGCCACACTAATTGATCCGTTCCCGCACCTTGCAGGAGTGGATCAAGGTACAGAATATCTTAAGCAGGACGGGGAAGGAGTCCCTGAAGCGGCGTGTGGAGAAGTTTGACATCAACAAACTGGAACCGGACATCGCCATGGGTGCCAAAGTGATCCTCAAGGACTTGACCCTCAATCAGGTCCGAGTGGTCAGTGCTGGAGCGGCCACCTTCTATGTCTGGGTGAGTTGGCATGTGGGGGTCTGTCGATGAATCAGACCCAAGTGGTAAGTAAAGGGCCACCACCTATGTCTGGATGTTTAAGAGTCTTTCTAAGAACTTGGCCTGAGCTTGTCTGGGCTTTCTCTCTGTGAATGAAGCCAGAGTGGTAAGTTCAAAGAAGCGACCATCGGATATGTCTAGCTGAGTTGACCCTCAATGAATCAGGTCTGGATGTCTAGCTTCGGCTGTTTTTCATGTCTAGATCTGAATCCTCTGAATGACATCGTGGGTCACATAATCTGCTCCATAAGAGGGTACAACATCCATCTTCAAAAATTGATCAATGTAGCGCTCAGTGGTCACAGCATTTCTTCCACCAGAACCAACATCTTTGAAAGGTGGCAAGGGCAGTTTCTTGTTGAGACCGATACCAACTCAAACCTTGAAATTTGAGACGCCTCAAGCATTTTACATCATAACACAGTTGTCAGTATACCATTCACCATTCCATTGCTCACATAGCCATTAGAAAATCCACTCAAAAACATCAAAATCTCAAGGCAGAGGCCATTGGAAACGATGGCCTAAGGCCAGAACTGAACAGAGGGCTGACCGTCTACGCACCCTTCTGGCGATGCCCGAGAATGGTGTCACTGACATTGGTTCTCATCGTGTTCCGTGTAGTTAGCATGGCTATTTTGAACCAGTCCAGCAGCTTAATCCAATGCATGTAACAGTCTTGTGGTAGTGACTCCAGATCTGCCACATCTCTAAACATCGCCTCGAGGTGATAAACAATGGACATACACACTTTCAATACAAAAGCCACACCGTGATCTCTTTCTTTAGGCAAAAGTCGACCAATGACTTTTTCTCATTTGATCCAAAATAGATTTGTGTCAATTTTTTTTGGTTTGGTTTGGTTTGTTGTTTAACGCCACACTCAGCAATATTCCAGCTATATGACGGCAGTTGTGTCATGTAACAAAATATATTTTTCGCATTTCTTTTGTTGTTCATTATATGATTAAATGAGTATTCATTTGAAAAACAGGATCCCGAAGCTGTTTGCTCTAACGTGGATTCATTGTGTATTCTAAAGTCTTCGGAAAGGGTACAGAAATCGTGGACACATTTGTAAATGGATTTCCTACACTTTCAGACAAAGGGGCTCATTAACGAGATCGAGACACGCATGGGCGAGGACATCCACAACACAAGGCCCAGAACCAGCAACTCCCGCAGAGCCCGGAGAATGTCACGTTCTCAGGGAAAACAGGCCAAGTTAACTCCCTTGACAAGAGTGGATTTGTAAAGGTTTGCTTGTGAAACGACCATATTCCGTACTACCTCCAACAAAATACTGATCATGCGATCGAAGCGTTACGATTACATAACCCATATTGTTAGACTTATAGAAAGCCTTTCCTGTGAGACATTTCAAGGGCGTCAAGGCAACACATGTGATGTTGAATTCAGTGAGACCTCATGAACTCGAAGGATCAACTATATGTCCATGCATCTAGTACGGGACAATGTTAGACCATAGCTCTGTCGGGACCATAAATCTTGAAGACATTTCGAGATGATGGTGTTAGAATTAACGAGAGTTCACTGCTTTGTCATTCAGTTTGAGAAACACCTATGTTATTAGGAGAAGTGTCCACTTCATCAACAAAGCCATAACACATGGACAGCACTTGATTTATTTATTATGACGAGGCATAGCATATCAGATATGCATATTTCATGTTGATTGTTTAGCGTCCATAAAAACAGATGTAGAATATTATTCTTAAGCAATAACAAACAATAGTTATAACACGTTCTTTAAATGGAACTTTTAAGAGCGCTTCCAGCAGACTGATTTTGCACTCGAATGTATGATTTATTTACATGTGACCTGTTGGACCTCTCAAACTTTGTAGATGCATGGGCCTACCATAGCATAAATACTTTGAGATGAATATTCTATATCTATATACATTAATCCGTCCATGGCCTTTTGTTATTTGTAAACTGTGATATTTTGTTGACTGTTTATTGTGAAACATGTATCAATACTGTTCTAAGTGTTATATTTTTCTAAATATATTTATATGAATGTGTGCACAATACATGTGATGTACTGTTCTTACTATTATTGTAGATGTATGGGTTTTGTATGATATTTCATGAAATAAAGCTCTGTGTTGCTATCTACGTATTTGTGTCCTTGTATGTAATGGATGTTCGCACATCAGACAGGTCACACATTGTAACCAGTGATACCCCGGTATCCTAATGGGGTACTGGCGGAAAGCATATACAGAAGAAATAGTTGAAAACCCCACTGCTTTCCATGATGAAGAGTGAGTGAATGTGTTCGGTGTTTACGCAGGTTTCAACAGGTTTGTTTCAGTTATATCAAAACCTTCTGTGAGAGGAAAGTCGAACGTGACACAAGTCAAACGTGACACAAGTCAAACGTGACACAAGTCAAACGTGACACAAGTCGAACGCGTTTATCTCTTTGATGAAACCTCTATGGTGCAAACAAACCAAGGGTCACAATCGGTGCAAATATGAGATCCGAACCCACGATCACCGGATCCTGGTATGTGTAAGAGACACAACTCCACAAGGGAATGTGTGGCGCGAAAAACAAATGTCTACTTCTCGGTTGATCTTTCCCCCGTTTTATCATTTTCAAGAGACACAGACGAAACCTTGAAAACTATATCCGTGTTTAATTCCCTCTTGTGTTAAGGCATGTGCAATGTGAACAAGCATGCTGAATAAAAAACACTGATAAAACACCCTTCACTTAGGACAGAGATAGTGGACAGACATCTTTACCTATATATTATGTATAAAGATATACTAAATATAAATAAACCAAACATATGAGCCATGCAATGCCGCACAATCAACCAAGTCACCGAGCCTTACCACCAGACCCCCTTCATTGTTGTAAAACAAGCATAGGTTGCAGGGGACCAATTCTATCCAACACAACAGGTACATGAGAGAGTACATAAATGTGTGAACTATGTCTTTTCTTGAGAAATTCTATGTTTCCCCTGAATAATCAATGCATAATGTGGCTAAGGCAGTGCTTCAGTTACATCATAGCCAGGAACTCCATGAATTGGCGATCCTTGGAATGCTTCAAACTTATCCTCACTCTGGGTTTCTTGTTAGAATATGTTTCCAGACAATGTTTCAAGACTTGCAATTTGGTTATTAATTTAGTAGCCGAACAATCGTATATTTACTCACCACACATTTGTTTCAGTATTTCACATGCCCAGTATGTTGTTTTGTATAAATCCCGAGGCAATTGTTTGAGTATTTTGAAAATAATCGCGCATTACTCTCAAACACTGCATCCCTTCAGACTGAATGGCCCCGAAGCTGTCTGTGTTGTCGACTGATGAAGGTGTCACTAGAGTAAGCGTGGTAGTCAGATATATTTGAGCAAAGTCATTTCAACGACGATTGTGTGTTTTTAGATAACCCGAAGGAGGAAATCAAGAAACAGATGAATGTTGCCATGGTGACACGGGATGAGGTGAAACAAGTCAAGGCAAAAAAAGACATAAACGTGTTGGCTAAAAGTACAAAGTCCTCTCAAAAAGACAAGATTCCACGTGACAAGAAATCATCTAAGAAGACACAAAATAGTCAAAATAAAAAGACTAATGCCAAGAAGGAAGTGCCTCGAGATACCAATACACCATACAATGAGAAGAAAACGTACCAAAGTGGCAAGACACCACGTGGTTTAACGACAGTAACTGACGATGCATATGATGTTCCTATCCCTCATGATAATGCTGTGGTCTTGTCTGTTGCGGCGACGCCACATGTTGAGGAAGAACGGGCCAACAAAGCTAAAGAAGGCACTAAGAAGGTGGTTAAGAGCACAAAGTCACATGGAAAAGGAAAGAATCTCGATGACAAGAACTCATCCAAGAAGTCATCACGTGATGTCAGTAAGAATATTGGCGCCAAGACATCACAACCGGAAGTGACGAAGGTCATGATAGATGAAGTGGACGCCCAGGAAAAGGAAAGGTCTGAGTTAGCCAAGGAGGAGCCTGTACCTGCAGAACAAGGATTACAGATAATCAACGCCAGGAAAGGTTTGTATTTTTTCAGGAATTCTATGTTTTATACTAAATGAGCCATTGATTATGTGAAATAAGTAATGATACATCATGACAGCTGTGAGAAGGGTCTCAGGTGCCACCTTCGAATACTTAACATTTTGCTTAACCCACTGTTCTTCATCTTGGATATTTGTTGTTGACTGAATATGATTACTTGAAAATTCTTCAAGATATGCAATGTCTTTCTGAAAGGAGTGGAATATAATGTTTGAAATAAACCTATCTTCAGGACATTTTTTTTAATATATGCATTTCCATTCATATATAATTCACCATTATTTTGCTTTTTATGCTGAATGGAATCTGTTTCGGCAGACAATCGAGACTGGCGTTGACGTTACGATAAAACCTAAGACAAAATGTGTTTTTTTCTGTATTAAATGGAGTAAATAACTTTCTACACAAAAAACAAACGTCAAGCACCATCCCAACGGATTTCACCCATTCAGAATATCAACTAGTTGGCCCTGAGTATGTCATGTGCTTGAAATTTGAGTCGGCTATCGATAAAATAATTACAAAGATGATTTGCTGTTGCTCCTAGATAAATCAAAGGAGCAAATCAAGAGTGTTGCCATGGTGAAACGGGATGAGGAGGAACGAGTCAAAGCTAAAGAAGATATTAAGAAGGTGGCTAAGAGTACAAAGTCACATGGCAAAGGAAAGAATGCCCATAACAAGAACTCATCCAAGAAGACATCACGTGGCGTAAGTAAGAATATTGATGTCAGGACATCACGTACTAAGAAGGAAAGGCCCAGAGATGACAACACAGCACATGAAGTAACGACAGCAATTGACGAAAAAAATATTGCTGAAAGAATGAACATTGACAAAACCACCCCAGTGATAAAGGTAATGAGTGATGAAGTAGACGTCAAAGAGAAGACAAGAAAAGAGATAGCCAAGGACAAACATGCAGAGCAAGAATTACAGATCATCAATGTCAGGAATGGTATGTATATCTAAAAGAATTCTGTTTTATGCCGCAAATAAGCACTGCATAAGTGTGCCATGATTAATGCTGCAGTTTATTATGGCAAGGGACATGGTGTCACCTTTAAATGCTTTACATGTTTATTAACCCATTAATTACTCTGGGGCTTTGTAATTCTCACATGCCCACCATTTCAAATTGTCTGTGCCTAGGCATCTAAAATGTAATTAAAGTAGCCATTAGTTAAAGTTGAACAAAATCATCCGAACTGTTATTTTTTGTTTGTTTAGATAAACCAGGGAAGGAAGTCATGAAGGACAAGGCTGATAGTATTAAGTCACATCACGAAGAGAAGATTCCTGGCAGCCAAATAAAATCTGACAAAACATCACAGAATACCAACTCCAAGAGACAAATTGACAAGAAGAAAACGACCAGACATGACATCTCACATGATAAAGAAGAAGAACGTCTCCCTCCAACACAGGAGGAGGAGGAAGAGGAGGAGGAGGAGGAAGAGGAGGAGGAAGAGGAAGAGGAGGAGGAGGAGGAGGAGGAGGAGGAGGAGGAGGAGGATAACATCAAAGAAACAGACGACACTTTTGATACTACAAAATCAAAAGAGGAACCAGGAGCTAAAAAGGGCATGATTAATGAAGTGAATGCCCAAGGGAAGAAACGGGCTGAGATAGCCAAAGGGGGACCTGCGACTGCAGAGCCAAAATTACAGACCATCAAAGTGAAAAAGGGTTTGTATTTCTTTCTACGTTTATCGTGAATAAACAATGCATTGTGTGAAATACGTAAAGTATTGCAAGGAGTACTATTAATATGTTGTTTGTTGTCACATTTGAACATGTAACAGTTTTGTTGAGAAAATGTCCTTAATCTGGGACCTATTTCAGAGAATGAATCTTTTCCTGTCATTGCATCAAGACATCGACTATTTTAATTGAAAGTCTATTTTTTTTGTTCACTTCACATTTTCGTCAGGACATCCAGCACATCCAAAACATATGTTTTCTTGTCTGTGTTAAACCTGAAGCAGAAGTAAGTCTTTCTTATATTTTCTGCAACAAAGTATTAAAAAGAAACTAGCCCCGCTGTCAGACACCCACTCCACACAGCCATACACTCCCACACATCACACACACACAGAATATCAAACGGTTGTTCATGTAGTGGACTGGTGTGGGTGTGGATTAGGAGTCAGATATATCATTGCTCAAAATCAACGAAAGATGATTATTTTTGTATTTAGATGCACCAACGCAGGAAATTAAGAATGTTGCCATGGTGACACAGGATGAGGAGGAACGTATCAAAGCTGAGGAAAACATGATGGATGTGGGTGAAAACGAGAATACCATCGTCAAGACTCCACTTGACGAGAAGAAAACGCCCAGTGATGACAAGACCCTGCAAGATGTAAAGATAGTTATTGACGATGCAAAAAACCCTGGAAGAGTCAAACTTGACAAAATCATCCAAAGTGACAAAGAAGGAGAAGGTTTCCTTACCCCTAATGGCAATGCTGTGCTCCCGTCCATCTCAGTTACGCCGCATCTACCGAAACAGGAACAGGAAGTGATAAAGGGCAGCATCGATGATGTGGTCACCCAGAGGAAGGAAAGGGCTGACCAAGCCGAAGTGGAACTTGCCCTTGCAGAACAAGCATTACAGATTATCAAAGTCAGAAAAGGTGTGTATCTCTTAGAAATTCTACATTTTATAATAAGCCAGCAAGGGTGGAATTACATGATACCAGGGAAGATCTGTCTCCAATGTAACATTCGAACGCTAAACAGTTTGGTTAACCAAATGTCCTTTTCCTGAACAATTGAAACAGCATATACAATATCATGCTTATGTTTGATATGTGCTACTTTACGCGTGTTACTGCCAGAAGATCCAGCTGCAATTATACAACAAGAAAGTATAATTAAATGAAAACAAGCTAAGGAACGCTCCATCCCATCAGTTGTGATGAATAGATCAAAGATTCAAGATGTTAATTAGATTCAAGGCTATATAAATATGACCCATATTACATGAAATTAAATTAATGTAATGGCTCGCTTATATATCAGCATTGGATCACGAAGGGCATGTTTTGGCAGAACAAGGTACTGATAATGATATGGGTCCTTATTTGCCCATTGTCATTCAAACAATCTTGGATGAGAGTATATTGGCATTTGAAAACATGCACGTTTTAGGCTTACTCACTCATTCAAAAAAGAAACGTGTTGGTTCTCGATTCTTTGTAAATTTTAATATAGCGATATGAAAAGGCCCCTGATAATGCTTCGTCTTTAATTTTTCTGTGCGTCTGAGACCTGCATCACTTCGGGCTTTCCTCCCAAATTAAGTTGACACGCCGTGATATAACTGGAATAAAGTTAAAAGTGGCGTTAAACCCAACTCACTCACTCACTCACTCCTTTTTCTGTGTGTCGTCAGCGTTAACTGAAGCTATTGAAGCACGTAACTCGAAGCGCCTCATAGCGATCACACAAGTGGTACGAGACAAGAACTATGAGTTTGCCATGAAGGACGAGATGAGGAAGGCCAGGAATCTGATGGAGAGGCTCCAGCACATCCGGAAACTGTGGCACGCCGTTCTGGAGCTGGACCATAACACTGTGGCAGAGGTGAAAGGATACGCCGCCCCTCCTCCTGCAGTCAGCAAGGTGCTCAGTGCAACGCTACTCATACTGGGGCATTACGTGGAAGAGACCAAGGTATGGGGCTTATAGATTAGAGTCACATTAAATAATGTGACTCTAGGGTGAAGGTAATGATATCCTTTTATATACATTGCCATTAAGATGTGGAGGACGCATTTCCACTTACCAAAGTAACTGAAATAATCTCGTATGAATATGTTAGTTTACTGACTTCAACCGAAGACACATGTCTCCTTAACCCTGTTTCAATTCCCGAAATAAGTACAATGTGGGAAACCCATAAGGGGCGGTGGTGTAGCTTATTGACCAAAGCCTTGGCTAGTCACACGTGGCCAGGATTCGATTTCCCACATGTGTGAAGACCTCTCTTGGTGCCAACCGCTGGTTACCTCTAAACGCTGCGTCATATAGACATCACTCACTCACCTTGTGTCCCAAAGCGTCACAACCAAATTCCCACCCACTTACTCACGTAGGTCTCCCGTTGGAATAATCTGTATAGAACAACGGCATGACGCCATACTAGTTCATGTGTTCACGCACCTTGCAGGAGTGGATCAAGGTACAGAACATCTTAAGCAGGACGGGGAAGCAGTCTCTGCTGCAGCGTGTGGGGAGGTTTGACATCGACAAAGTTGATCCTGGTATGGCCATGGGGGCCAAGGAGATCCTCAAGGACCTGACCCTCCAACAGGTCCGAGTGGTCAGTGCTGGAGCGGCCACCTTCTATGTCTGGGTGAGTTGGCACGTGTGGTCTCTTGGTGAATCAGTTCTATGTGATAATTGTAGGGCCACCTTTTATGTCTGGGTGAGTTGGCAAGTGGGGCCTCTTGGTGAATCAGTTCTATGTGATAATTGTAGGGTCAGCTTTTATGTCTGGGTGAGTTGGCATGTAGGAATTTCTATCTCTATCTGACAATGTTCTGGGTGGTCAGTGTGTGCGCGTTCAGAGTCTGTGTACGTGAATTGGCCTGGGTGATCAGTGTGCGCGCGTTCAGAGTCTGTGTACGTGAATTGGCCTGGGTGATCAGTGTGTGCGCGTTCAGCGTCTGTGTACGTGAATTGGCCTGGGTGGTCAGTGTGTGCGCGTTCAGCGTCTGTGGACGTGAATTGGCCTGGGTGGTCAGTGTGTGCGCGTTCAGCGTCTGTGTACGTGAATTGGCCTGGGTGGTCAGTGTGTGCGCGTTTAGCGTCTGTGTACGTGAATTGGTCTGGGTGGTCAGTGTGTGCGCGTTCAGTGTCTGTGATGGGTCAGTGCAGGTAAAGCCAGGTTCTATTTCTGGGTTTGTATCAATCTCTATCTGACGACGTTTTTATAAGACCAATTCCGGATTTACGAATCACTGAGTATTGCAAAACCCTTTGCAATATCCTTTGTATACCAGAGGATATCAATCGAAAAGCGGGGCTGCCGGACCTACCGGGTTCAGATTTACGGATTTCAGCCATTCGCATTCAAATATGTGGCGATTCAGTAGTTTAATGCCTAAAAATAGGATAATCGGTTTGTTTTTCCCTTTCAGACAAAGGGGTTGATTAATGAGATTGAGACGCGCATGGGTGAGGACATCCTAAACACAAGGCCCAAAACCAGAAGGCCCCGCAAAAACTGGGAACTGGCGCGATCGCGAGCTCTGGAAAAACAGGGCAAGTTATCTACCTTGATAAGCGTGGAATTGTAACGGCTTACTTGTCACACTATCCTTAACCATGCTACCTCCAATGAAATAATGCTCATACGTTTAACAATGCGATCTCAGCGTTTCAATGAAGTTATAGTTTATTGTGAATTTATTGTATTGTTACCTTATCATACCTACAAACATCGTATCAAATATCATACCTTTCCTGGTGAGTGTATAACATCAATAAACAGATCAGAATAAACAGAATATCATTTACAAGCAATAAGAAACAATAGATACACAGTTCTTTGCCATTACCTTCTTAGATATGGAAGTTTTACGAATGCTTCCAGCAGTGCTGATTTCTCACCAGACACTTAGTTCTTCATAGCTATGTGGTCCAACGACTTGTCACACAATATCCAAATGTTCAACATTGTACATTCACGAGCGTGAAAACAAGGGTTTAACATGAGAAATATTTGCATGCATTAATCCGTCCATAAATATTTTGTTATATGCCAACTGTGATATTTTGTTGACTATTTTCTACTTTTGTACCAATACCTTGTTAAATTTAAAAACTATATACATGTAAATGAATGTGCGCATAATAACCCCTGTTGTTACTGTTTTATGTTTGTAATTAATGTGTAATGGACATCAATTGTCAGTACATCCAAGTAGTTTCCTATACAGTAAAATACGTTTATAACGAACATGCTTATAACGAACTGACGGATATAACGAACTTTATTTTTGGTCCCGGCCATTTGCTGTATAGATGTTGTATATATGCTTATAACGAACTACGGTTATAACAAACCAAAATTAGTGGTCCATTTGAGTTCGTTATAACCGTAGTTTACTGTACCCTGACATACCCGTTTCACTGTACGTTTGGTCACGTTTGTTATAACTGATGACTTTGCTTCCTGTATCATGCTATGTGTTGCATATATGCAAATACATCTTTCAAGATTTTGCATATTTTGTCCTGTGATACCAGGGTCAGGTAATTATCCTCTGTCACTCCTATCTCATGACATATTTCTCAAGATATTAAACAGCGCAGAATGCTTAGAAGGGTATAATGTGTACAACTCTCAATCGAAAATAATTGTATAATGATTAAAATTTAATGTGTGAGCAAATTTTGTTAGTTTATCATAATTAAAAAAACCAGGTTTGATTGTTCTGGTCCTTGTTATTTACCTGTTGTACACACAAGATACACATGTAGTGACAAATCTAACTTTCGCACTCCCCCAATTCATATTCCGAGTTTGGATAAGCCATTGAACTTGTTTTGTGATTGAGTTATCATCAGTTGTCTGGAATAAATTTCAAAGAGCGTCATACGACTCTTCCTCAAAAGTTGTTTGATTAAGATTAACATATCTAATGTGGAGGACATTTCCAAATTTGAAGTATCAGTGACAAACATGACGTCCGATGCAATTACCTATTTTGACTTGTACATGTACCATATGTCCCCGTGTTTTGTTAGGCGAACAGTTGACTTGCCTGTGCATGTGTTTGGGACGGGGGCCACCGGTGGGGCAGCTTACGCTCACCTTTTCGCAAACACCTTGTATCATCACTATTTGATAGTGATTCATAACCACATAGTCGCAGCCGTACAATGGACTCTGCAGTGAGTGAGTGAGTGAGTGAGTGAGTGTTCTCTAACGCCTGGAACTAATCGACTCTGGCCTAAACAAACCAGTGATTAACAGTATGAACAGGGAATCATTCCGTGGGGCCAGGGCACCATTAGACGGGTCATACCTTGTAACCAAACATTTCAAATGTTACGGCAAACACTTGTTTTAAGAACTGTCCCCAAGCCGTACCTAGGGGAGTAACGTACATGGGGACCCCGCACCCCCGACTCACCCTACTACTTCCTGAGGTCAAGCAGATTTAGAGAATGAATTGTAACGCGGTTTGAGACAGTATTCCAGTCAGCGCAATGCCAAATCGTGTGCGTTTTGTGAAATATGACATATGCACAGAGCTGACATACCAAGGCAAGTCTCAGATCCCAACCCAAGGTCAGCAAATCTGGGCCATTCGTCACCACTCGCCCCTTTCCGTAACCTGCAAGAAGACTCGTCCCCCTATCGATGAATGTAATGTGCCTAAATACGACAAACCAATCAGAATGCGCGTATGATTTCAAGTTCTACGTCAAAAAATCCCTCAGAAATAAGTTTTGATTTTACATATGTCTTCCATCTAAAAATATGTCCAAGACACAGTAAAATGTGTTCAATCATGCTGTATAATTCCGCATGTACTGATGTGCTTTAAATTGCATCTGAAATATATATAATATATGGGGAAATATATGTGAACCATTACGCAACGAGTTGACAATTGGACATGAGAGGGGCCCGAGCATTCGTGACCAACTCGTGTTGTTCCGGGACAAGCCGAATAGGTTACGGAAAGGGGCGAGTGATGACGAATGGGTCGTATTTTCGCCCATGACACGAGTTGGTCATGAATGAATCTGGGCACGTCTAAGGGGCGCAACTCTGTAAAGCACGGTTCGGCTTTTCCTCGGTTGATCTTGCTTCCGTATGAAGTTCTCAAGTTCAAGAGAATCCAAAGAGGCGTAGTAAAATGTTCTCGTTATTTGTCTGTGCGTGCCAAAGTTGAATGTTAACACTGATTAACCCACCCTTACTGAGGACATACCTAGTGTGCAGCAATCTGATTGGCAGTTTGTGCATATAGTATCTAAGGTTCCACCACAGGAAACCACAGGAACGCTACGTCTGAAGGAAGTTCATCCAGCTTGAGACATAGGATGTAGATTTAACACAGATGCACTCTTTACGAGCGTATGGCAATCTTGTCAAGTCTCCATCTCTGCGTTTGCTCACACAATTAAGTTAGCTAAGGTATTCCCTTTTGTGAATTTCAAATGTCCAAGAGCAGAGCTTCCATTTCTTGTTTCGTCAAAAATTGATTCTACATTAAAGTTATTTGATTGATAACTGCCAAAGCGTGCTGCTTCTCTGTGGAAGGTATGCTGGTAAAGTAGCAAGTCCATTAATAAACAAAATAAACAAATAGTCTGACTGTGGTGAAGTACGAGTGACAGTGTTACTTGTCATGCAGAGTTGTGTTCATTAAAATACCGACGGTGGGGTTGGGGTTGGGGTTGGGGTTGGGGGTGGTTGTGGTGGTGGTGGTTGGGGGTTGGGGGTTGGGTGGGGCAGGGGGTGGGGCAGGGGTGGTGGTGGGGGTGGGGGTGGGGGTGGTGGGGGGTCTGGGTTCACATCTGATGACACTTTGTATGGGCATTGCCTACCATGATAACATGTTGATTTAGTTGTTGAAGAAAAATTAATAATTGTTTATATATAGTGTTTGTGATTCTTTGTGTAGGCTTCATGTTACCAGTATCCAGTGAGGTTGATATCAAGTGTTAACTCCAAGGGCGTGGCCATAACAAAATGGCGGACAGGCTAGATTTCTATGTCAACAAGGAGCCACGGCCCCCGTGTGGTTAACAACGTTATGTTTAGGGTATCGTTGTTAGCAACCGTTGAAATCTGTATCGGGGATTCACCACATTGTGAGTTCTGTTAAATATATGAATGATACTTGTTTGTTTTGTTGTGAAGGGTTGGGTCCTAAAGGCGAGCCAGAATCGTGGGTTCGAATCCCGGTTCAATATGATAATGTTTCTAGTTTTGTCATACCCGTGCTCGTGGGTTTCACCAACGTGGTAAACGTCTAGGACCAACATACCCTCGGGTTTTCCTTCACATCAAGCAGACACGCTCGAACTAAAATCCTTTTAAAACCCAACTGTCACACCCATTTTAAGTCCCCATATGCATTCCGAAGCAGACCGCCCAGCACCGCGTGCTCAAAATGGTAGCTGACTAAAATTAATTTTCAGATGGGTGTGTCCATCTTGTCTGATTTGGCTTCCGTACCCGTCTCGTTGCTGAACTAACCTACTGGGACCCCCTTGTTACAGACCCTGATTAATGTGTTCTATTGCGAGGGAGTAAAAAACGCTCCCACGGTCGCCCTTACCAAGTGTCTTGTTTGTTGTTTGACATCACACTCGAGTCTAAACCAGGCAATCGAGTGATCGATATTGTGAGCAAAGAACCCCGGGTTACGAGGACACGCTGTCAACCAAATTACCGAATCGTCCGATCTTACGATCAGCACTTTCTGGAGCCCTCCGAAGTGACCCGTTGAATGTGTGTCAAACCATGAGTCGTTTTCTTTGGTATCAAAATGTATAGACACTGCCCTCATTCCTTCTTTTGCACCCGGAGACCAAGTCCTGCAAACATACGTTATAGAGGCCACACATCAAGGCGTCGACAAACACATAATGTTTTGTGTATAACCCCTTTGGAAGAACATTTTTACATGTATTGTCCTCGACGTGAGTTTGTTGATACATCCGCGGTTGTTGGAACTTGTCACCTCATCAGTGATGCAGATACTGAAGCAATGTTTGCAGGGGTGTATTGCTTATAGCTGCTGTGTGTACACTTAGATGTAAGGAACAGCTCATCAATGCTGCAGAAAGTGAAGTGTTTGCACTGACTACATTGAGGGCTACTCAAATCGCCTACAGCAGTTGAGCGGTGGGAGTTGTTCAGAAAATGGAAGTATTTACGTTCTTGTACAGACATGTGGAAGTACGTGATAATACACTGTATACAGAGGAGGTGAAGAAATGATTTAACTGTGGTGTGCTTGAAAGACATACCTTCACAGGAGGTGGGGTGAGGTGAAATGGACTTTAACACTACGTTCAAGATAATTGCATTTTTAGCCGACCAGTCCTTATTTTATCTCTTAATGCCGACGCACGGCAGGGTAACAATAAGTACCATCTTATGCGGGTTTTGATACAGCGTGACCGGGTCTCGAACCACCGACCTTCCGCTCTCCGGGCGGACGTTATGCACCACGGAGGCGATCACCTCAAACAAGATACGAGACAACATGTGCGTGTGGCCCGTGAAGATCCGGGGTAGAATTGGTCTTCAGCAACCCATGCTTGCCGTAAAAGGCGACTATGCTTGTCGAAAGAGGCGTCTGACGGGATCGGATGGTCAGGTTCAATGACTTGGTTGATGCAATCGTATCCCAATTGCGTTGATCGATGCTCGTTATGTTAATCACTGGATTGTCTGGTCCAGATTCGGTTTACAGACGGCCGTCATATGGCTGGAATATTGCTGAGTTCGGCGTTAAACAAACAAACAAACAACATGTGCGTATATCAAAGTACCGTTTAACATCCACATTCTGTATGGATAAAAAATTGACAGAGACACGGTGGCATCCTTTGTATGACAAGTTGAACTGTCATCACATGACATCGACCCCGATCGAAACTATCGTTAGTTAAAATCATAAACATATTACTCACAGATATAGTAAATTCCTTTTTGAATGAGAAACAAATAACTTTTCATGTATAACAGGTTGTAATTATAGCTGTCCCTTAACCCGCTAACAGCTTCTCTAACAAGATCATAAGCCTAGGTAATGGCGGACGTGTTCGGCTGAACTGAACTGAGTGAGTTGGGTTTGACGCCGCTTTTAACAGCATTCCAGTTATATCACGGCGTATGAGCTTAATGTGGGAGGAAAGCCCGAAGTGATGCAAGTCTCAGACGTTAAATACTTTGGTGAAACCCACGAGCACGGCTATATGGTGCTGACAACACATAACATAATCGGGGCGAACCGGGATTCGAACCCACGACCATAGGTGTCTGGCCTTCCCAAGGGACGCAACTCTGCATTGCCTCACACGACTGGGCCACCCATGCCCCTGGACAGAACTGAAGTGAATATTATATATTTTGCATACAAAAGTGTTAACTTTGTTTGTTGCTTGCCACCAGTGGCGTGTAAACAAACCAGACAAACAAGTGATAGACCAGAATATCCAGTGACACGACGGCGCATGTACTGATATTGTTGAAACTAATAACGATAAGGAAGAGAACTAATGGATGTCAACTTCTTTTTTTATGAGGAACACAACGTTTCGGGGTAAATGCTTACTCCTTCAACGTATACTCCGAAACATTGTGTTGCACATAATAAAGAAGTTGACATCCATACATTCTCTTCCTCATGTGTATCACTTCTAAATGCCTTTCAAAGACTTAAAAACGATAAGTTAAGTTTGAATTACGTCTTCTGTTTGCAAGTGCAGAGATTCTGCTGCTTTTAAAGTGCATATATCATGAATATGAGTAATATAAGTTTCTTTCATCAATATGTAGCCAGTGTGATGTACAATACGAAATCGTGAACGGAGGCTTGGTTGCTCGGGTGCTCACGTAGGAGCGGGCTTGTTGTGTGATGAGTGAGTGAGTGAGTGAGTGAGTTGGGTTTAACGCCGCTTTTAACAGTATTCCAGTTATATCGCGGCGTGTCAGCTTAATGTTGGAGGAAAGCCCGAAGTGATGCAGGTCTCTGACGTTTACCACTTCGGTGAAACCCATGAGCACGGGTATGGTGCTGACAAACCTAGAAACATAATCGGGGCCAACCGGGATTCGAACCCACAATCATAGGTTTCTGGCGTGCCCAAGGGACGCAACTCTGCACAGCGAATCGCGGCGCCTTAGACGACTGGGCCACCCGCGCCCCCTGTTGTGTAATGAAGCATGTACATTTGGAGGACATCTCCTCAAACACCACCATATATGGAGTCTCTCAACATAAACGCCCCTCATCCGCTGTAGTTTCGTTTCAGCTTTTGAAATTGACAAAAGTAAATACATTTTATTTACACGTCGCTTTCGATGTTTTGAATACAATATTTGCATTAACGATGTTACGATCCATCCAAGTCTGCAAAGCTGTTTTACCCATGAGACTTGCACTTAGTGTAAAGAAAATCGTTTGAGAAATATGTTCGTTTTGCAACACCGTAGAAGCAGTTATAGTGTCTCGTGACAAATATTTCTGTTGTAGTTGATGCAGCATTATTGATATTTGCTGCTAACCTCATAAGAACACTAGGGGACTTCAGTTTACCAGCAGAAACATCGACCCAATTCAAGTAAATATATGACCTCAGCGATCTCATCATAGTATTTTTAGAAGCAAAAACGTGTTTCATAAGCTTGGTTTCAGTTATGTGTGGTTTACTGGAGTTATTAATATTTTTTCTTGCATTTAAGAGATGATTTTGAGACTTAAACCTATGCTTTATTAGGACTATTTAAATTATGCAAACAAAATTCAAAAGCATATAATTAAGTCTTGATTCAATGATAGTGTCATTTCGCCTGGCACAGTTCGTTGAAGTTCTTACGTCTTGTAATATTACAATGAGCGAGTGAGTGAGGTTTTACACCGCTTTTAGTAATATTCCAGCCATATGGGCTTCACACATTGAACCCATGTCGGGAATCGAACCCGGGTCTTCGGCGTGACGAGCGAACGCTTTAACCACTAGGCTACCCGACCACCCCTTGTAATATTACAAAAAGAGCCTGTTTCGGTCTGCCCCTGAGGATATATTGAAAACGAAGATAATTTTCTTATGGCCAGCGTGGTATGAAGTACCTATATTTGAAATGGTTGGCAGCTATTATTTTGGGTGGGGGAGGAACACCTGCAGATGGCGTCACGGACCCTGGTAGGGGAGGAACACCTTCAGATGGAGTGACGGACCCTGGTAGGGGAGGAACACCTACAGATGGCGTCACAGTCCTGGTACGGAGGAGGAACATCCGCAGATGGCGTGACCGACCCTGGTGGGGGAGGAACACCTACAGATGGCGTGACGGACCCTGGTGGGGGAGGAACACCTGCAGATGGCGTGACCGACCCTGGTTGGGGAGGAACACCTGCAGATGGCGTGACCGACCCTGGTTGGGGAGGAACACCTGCAGACGGCGTGACGGACCCTGGTTCGGGAGGAACACCTGCAGATGGTGTGACCGACCCTGGTTGGGGAGGAACACCTGCAGATGGCGTGACGGACCCTGGTGCGGGAGGAACACCTGCAGATGGCGTCACGGACCCTGGTGGGGGAGGAAAACCTACAGATGGCGTGACGGACCCTGGTGGGGGAGGAACACCTGCAGATGGCGTGACAGGCCCTGGTGGGGAGGAGGAACACCTACAGATGGCGTGACGGACCCTGGTGGGGAGGAGGAACACCTGCAGATGGCGTGACGGACCCTGGTGGGGAAGAGGAACACCTGCAGATGGCGTGACGGACCCTGGTGGGGGAGGAACACCTGCAGATGGCGTCACGGACCCTGGTGGGGAGGAGGAACAACTGCAGATGGCGTGACGGACCCTGGTGGGGGAGGAACACCTGCAGATGGCGTCATGGACCCTGGTGGGGGAGGAACACCTGCAGATGGCGTCACGGACCCTGGTGGGGGAGGAACACCTACGGATGGCGTGACGGACCCTGGTGGGGGAGGAACACCTACAGATGGCGTGACAGACCCTGGTGGGAGAGGAACACCTACAGATGGCGTGACGGACCCTGGTGGGGGAGGAACACCTACAGATGGCGTGACGGACCCTGGTGGGGGAGGAACACCTGCAGATGGCGTGACGGACCCTGGTGGGGAGGAGGAACACCTGCAGATGGCGTCACAGACCCTGGTGGGGAGGAGGAACACCTGCAGATGGCGTGACGGACCCTGGTGGGGAGGAGGAACACCTGCAGATGGCGTGACGGACCCTGGTGGGGAGGAGGAACACCTGCAGATGACGTGACGGACCCTGGTGGGGGAGGAACACCTGCAGATGGCGTGACCGACCCTGGTTGGGAGGAGGAACACCTGCAGATGGCGTCACGGACCCTGGTGGGGAGGAGGAACACCTGCAGATGGCGTGACGGACCCTGGTGGGGGAGGAACACCTGCAGATGGCGTGACGGACCCTGGTGGGGGAGGAACACCTGCAGATGGCGTGACGGACCCTGGTGGGGGAGGAACACCTACAGATGGCGTGACGGACCCTGGTGGGGGAGGAACACCTGCAGATGGCGTGACTGACCCTGGTGGGGGAGGAACACCTGCAGATGGCGTCACAGACCCTGGTGGGGAGGAGGAACACCTGCAGATGGCGTGACGGACCCTGGTGGGGAGGAGGAACACCTGCAGATGGCGTGACGGACCCAGGTGGGGGAGGAACACCTACAGATGGCGTCACGGACCCTGGTGGGGGAGGAACACCTACAGATGGCGTGACGGACCCTGGTGGGGAGGAGGAACACCTGCAGATGGCGTCACGGACCCTGGTGGGGAGGAGGAACACCTGCAGATGGCGTCACGGACCCTGGTGGGGGAGGAACACCTGCAGATGGCGTGACGGACCCTGGTGGGGGAGGAACACCTGCAGATGGCGTCATGGACCCTGGTGGGGGAGGAACACCTGCAGATGGCGTCACGGACCCTGGTGGGGGAGGAACACCTGCAGATGGCGTGACTGACCCTGGTAGGGGAGGAACACCTACAGATGGCGTGACGGACCCTGGTGGGGGAGGAAAACCTACAGATGGCGTCACAGACCCTGGTTGGGAGGAACACCTGCAGATGGCGTCATGGACCCTGGTGGGGGAGGAACACCTGCAGATGGCGTCACGGACCCTGGTTCGGGAGGAGGAACACCTACAGATGGCGTGACGGACCCTGTTGGGGGAGGAACACCTGCAGATGGCGTGACGGACCCTGGTGGGGAGGAGGAACACCTGCAGATGGCGTGACGGACCCTGGTGGGGGAGGAACACCTGCAGATGGCGTGACGGACCCTGGTGGGGGAGGAACACCTGCAGATGGCGTCATGGACCCTGGTGGGGGAGGAACACCTGCAGATGGCGTCACGGACCCTGGTGGGGAGGAGGAACACCTACAGATGGCGTGACGGACCCTGGTGGGGGAGGAACACCTGCAGATGGCGTGACGGACCCTGGTGGGGAGGAGGAACACCTGCAGATGGCGTCACGGACCCTGGTGGGGAGGAGGAACACCTGCAGATGGCGTCACGGACCCTGGTGGGGGAGGAACACCTGCAGATGGCGTCATGGACCCTGGTTGGGGAGGAACACCTGCAGATGGCGTGACGGACCCTGGTGGGGGAGGAACACCTGCAGATGACGTGACTGACCCTGGTAGGGGAGGAACACCTACAGATGGCGTGACGGACCCTGGTGGGGGAGGAACACCTACAGATGACGTCACAGACCCTGGTTGGGAGGAACACCTGCAGATGGCGTCATGGACCCTGGTGGGGGAGGAACACCTGCAGATGGCGTCACGGACCCTGGTTCGGGAGGAGGAACACCTTCAGATGGCGTGACGGACCCTGTTGGGGGCGGAACACCTGCAGATGGCGTGACGGACCCTGGTGGGGAGGAGGAACACCTGCAGATGGCGTCACGGACCCTGGTGGGGGAGGAACACCTGCAGATGGCGTGACGGACCCTGGTGGGGGAGGAACACCTGCAGATGACGTCACGGACCCTGGTGGGGGAGGAACACCTGCAGATGGCGTGACTGACCCTGGTAGTGGAGGAACACCTACAGATGGCGTGACGGACCCTGGTGGGGGAGGAACACCTACAGATGGCGTCACAGACCCTGGTAGGAGAGGAACACCTACAGATGGCGTCACAGACCCTGGTAGGGGAGGAACACCTACAGATGGCGTGACGGACCCTGGTGGGGGAGGAACACCTACAGATGGCGTGACGGACCCTGGTGGGGGAGGAACACCTACAGATGGCGTCACAGACCCTGGTAGGAGAGGAACACCTACAGATGGCGTCACAGACCCTGGTAGGAGAGGAACACCTACAGATGGCGTCACAGACCCTGGTAGGGGAGGAACACCTACAGATGGCGTCACAGACCCTGGTAGGGGAGTAACACCTACAGATGGCGTCACGGACCCTTACAAGGAGTAGGAACATATCGCGTCATCTTAATAATCTTTGTATGGGAACACCCTGATTCGCTCTAACTGATATGGATCCTGTTACGATTGCTTAACCTATGTAGAAATATTGCAGATCTGAACTGTTGGTTCGGTCGTGTTTTGTCAGAATAACCTGTCTCGATTATCCACCGAAACATATTCGAATGTGCTTAAAAGCAGCGGTGAACATATTGTGAATGGAAAACTGAAAATCAGAGATGATACCAGGTGTTCGCGAAAGGGGTGAGCATGCCCTGAATAACCACACAAGGAACTATGCTCCCAAAATGTGATTCCGCCACGACAAACACCCTGCTCGGGTTCTCAGTAAGCGTACGTACTTGTATCACACCCCGGAGTTCATAACAGGACACGACAATACACATTGAATATCAACAAAATAAATAATTTTACAAAATCTTTTATTACACAAACAGTATTACTTTTTACATGAGCAATGCTTGACAGTGTTCGCTGTTGGTCCATGGGTGCTCAATCTGAAATACAAAATGCAAACGGTATATAATCTGACACACGATTGCTTGCCATGGACAAGCAGTGCAAACTCGTGTTAGTGTTTTTATTGGACGTGGTGACCAACGCAGGGCGAATGTCCTCGCGCCGTCTATACATGTATGCGCTGCGTCAAACACTTTGCCGAAGTTCGCATCAGACAATATGTCACGCGACCTCCTTGGCTGCGTAATCTGTCTTATATATCAGATACCAATTACACTATATTTTGATTGTTTTTTAGTTAATTTTGTAAAAATAGAAATGTATGTATGTTGTATGTGATTTGTGAATATGTGCGTGAGTGTGTGCGTGAGTGCGTGCGTGCGTGCGTGCGTGCGTGCGTGCGTGCGTGCGTGCGTGCGTGCGCGCGCAATAACAATGTGACATTATTCTGACACAATTCTGACATTAACAGCAAAAGACCGATAATCCGGACCACAGCGTGTAAGTGACACCGTCCTGATTTAGAAAGAAATCCAGATTTAAGGATCATGGGTAGGGATAACATTACGGTTTTTAACAAAAAGGTTCCTTATTGTATATCTGTACACGGCCTAGCAGCACCATTCGGGAAGATGAGTTTTCCGGATTATAGGAGCCCGACCTTTTTGGGTTTCACGCGATGAGGGTATGTGCTCCCAGTACTCACTAAGCCATGGTGGTGTTCTCCATCGTTCTGTTGGACATCATGTAGGTCTCCTCGAATCTCTTGGCGTGCATGACGTAGGTCTTGGCCCCGCCACACATGGACTTGATGAGTCCACCCATGAAGAGCTTCTTCTGCTGTTCCTTGGACATCTTCCTGATCTTCTCTGCGAGATGTCCCATGTTTCCTGTCTCCATAGCTTCCATTGCGCCCCTCATGTCATCATCCATCCCTCCGACCATCTCTGTGTCGTTGTTGGTGTTCAGGCCCATGAACATCCTGAAATAGTAAAACAATGACCACAATAAACTGCCCGGCAGACGAAAGTGTACACTTGAATATTGGGGGGTGAGTGAGTGAGTATGGTTTTACACCGCTTTTAGCAAAATTCCAGCAATATCACGGCGGGGGATACCAGAAATAGGCTTCACACATTGTACCCATGTCGGGAATCGAACCCGGGTCTTCGGCGTGACGAGCGAACGCTTTAACCACTAGGCTACCCAACCGCCCCTCGAACTGCAAGTGTCAGCTCACTTGGCCTAACTTATCTTCATATGAAAAACTTTTGGACACTAGGAAACAGGCGGCGTCGTTGTTATAGTTGTCGTTGGTTTGTTGTTTAACGCCGCACTCAGCAATATTCCAGCTATATGATGGCGTGACGCTTTAACCACTAGGCTACCCGACCTTGTACATAGAAACCAGTTTCTTTCATGAGTCCTTTTTGCTGTTCTGAAAGCCCATGTTATACTGATATTTCTGATGGTATTAATGGTGCTCTTAAGACAAATTCAAGGATCACAAACGTTGTCAAGTCCATCTTTACAAAACATCACCACAACTACTTTATCACCATGGAGATTTCTCGTGTCAACGTTGATCTAACTATCTAGTTGCACTTCTATTGACAATATACCACATTTACAACCAACCACAATTACAACCAACCACCCTTACACACCTTACATCTCTTCCTACCGACCACCGATCATAGGCTTTGAGGAAAGAGCTTTTTGTTTCTTAAATACTGGGATAACGACATGGTTATCATCATCATGCTAATAATAAAAATAAAAATAAAAATAATAATAATGATGATGATGGTAATAATAATAATAATAAAATAATAATAATAATAATAATAATAATAATAATAATAATAATAATAATAATAATAAATAAAAAAATAAAAAAAATAAAATAAATAAAATAAAAATAAAATAAAGACAACAACAATCATCATCATCATCATCATCATCATCATCATCATCATCACTACCAATTAACTTACTTGTTCATCTGTGCGTTGACCTCTCCACACTGACAGAGCTGAAGGAAGGCGTGTGTGAGCTGGAAGGCAAACTTGTGTTTCTGCTCCTGGAAGGACTCGATGAGCTCCTTGAACTCATTCTCCTTGGCCTTCTTCTTCTTCATCGCCTCGTGCTTCTGCCACAAGTCGTACATATTCTTCTTCTGCTCCATCGCCGCCTTCTCCTTCTCCTTCTGCATCTTCTCCATCATCATGTGGAACTTCTTGAACTTCTCCATCTTCTCCTTCATCTCCATCTTCTGCTTCATCTCCATCATCTTCTGCATCTCATGGAACTTCTTCATCATGCTGTATTTCTTCATCTCAGCTTCTTCTTTGCTCTTGCAGTCACCATCACCTGCGTAGTGCTCCTCTTTCTCTTCTCCCTTCCCCATGTAATCTTTCATCTTTTCGAACATTTCTTCCATGCCCTTCTCCTTCTCTCCCGAGTCTCCGCCCATTCCTCTCATGTAACCCTCCATTCCTCCCATGTCACCCCCCATTTCTTCGCTCGAACCATGGCCGAACGCCAGAGGGAGGAGACACACCAAGAGAACAACCTTGGGAAGCATGATTGATATCTGCAAAAATCATAAAAGGTCATAATTAAAATGATAAAAATTAGATTATTTATTATCAATATAATTTTTAACTAATTTTTTTCAAGAAAGGATTATCACTAGTGTTTGCGAGTCATCTATCATTTGATGAGATGTCTGCATCTTCATAACACAATAAGTCATTCAAACCTAATTACTAGACCCGTGAAGATCCGGGGTAGAATAGGTCTTCAGCAACCCATGCTTGCCGTAAAAGGCAACTATGCTTGTCGTAAAAGGCGACTAACGGGGTCGGGAGGTCAGGCTCGCTGACTTGGTTGATACATGTCATCGATCCCAATTGTGTGGATCGATGCTCCTGATGTCAATCACTGTACTGTCTGGTCCAGACTCGATTATTTTACAGACCGCCGTCATATAGCTTAAATATTGCTGAGTGCGGCGTTAAACAACAAACAAACAAACAAACTAAAATCATTAATCGGTAATTTTGTGAACATTTAATATTAATATTCCTATCATGAACTATGCTGTAATTTGAATAAATGTCAGATCTGATTACTATGAAACAGTCAAACATACACAATCTTCAAATGTATATTAAACGTCAGCGACAGAGAACAACCAGTCTCGATTATCCTTCGAAACAGATTCCATTGGGCGTAAAAGGCAAAACAGCGGTGTCAAATAAATGAATGGATCACTGGAAATCAGTGATGACACGCGAAAAGGGTAATCGTGTCCTGCCCCACCGGTAGGAATTTTTGTAATGGTCGTCTGTCCGAACATGACCACTTAACTTTACAGACGGAAGAACAAGCATTACGTCATTTGAAGGTTGACGATGAAGATTATAAGCTATCTGTTTGATGGTAGACAGGAAAAGCCAAAGTGGTGGCCGTTCGATGGTTCGATCCCTTCGCCGCGTCATACCGAAAGATGTTAAAAGATGGCACTTGTGTTTAGCCTACCTGGCGCTCGGCATTAAAGGGCCTGGTAGGCTCGGAGTCTGTTTTGGGTATCCATGTTAAGTGCACCATGGTATCCAATGGACTCACCTCACCTCACCTCACCTCACCTCACCTCACCTGTTGAACTTTACGAGTATACGTTTCATAATCGGGGCGACATTACGGGATTCGAACCCACCATAATACGTCAACGGCACTGCTAAGGGACCAAATATGCGCAGGAGGTTTCAGTGCTTCGCTAGGTAACCCGTCTCCCACCTACTTTTCTAACGATGAATGCACAAGTTCTACGAGTCGGTAATCAGTCAGATTCAATGTGGTATGCAAAACAAAAACTTTAGGCAATGAGTGAGTGAGTGAGTTGTGTTTAACGCCGCTTTTAACAGTATTCCAGTCATATCACGGCGTGTCAGCTTAATGTGGGAGGAAAGCCCGAAGTGATGCAGGTCTCAAACGTTTACGACTTCGGTGAAACCCACGACCGTGCTGACAAACCTAGAAACATAATCGGGGCAAACCGGGATTCGAACCCACAATCATAGGTTTCTGGCGTGCCCAAGGGGCGCAATTCTGCACTGCGAATCGCGGCGCCTTAGACGACTGGGCCAACCGTGCCACACTTTAAGTAATAAACTTACATTATGCATCGAACTATATTAAAACTATAACCACGGTTCTTTCAGACGCAGATAAGCCTTGCATGTTTTGCAGAATATTAAAAAAAACTATTAAAATGTTAATATCTGCACAGTGACAAAATTATTGCTTTATGACCAAAAATATTACCCTTTGAAATGTTTAAAAAAAACGGAGGGAAGCGTGAATAAATTAAACTTGCGTCACATAGGAAGAAAATAATTAAATGAACAGTTGCAAGCAATTTCTAATGCATCATTGATACACAATACATAAATTCTGTCACCACGAGTCAAATAACTAAAATCTGAGTCAAATAAGATTTTCTTTAAAAAAAAGTAAAAACGTAAGTAGGATCGTATTTGTGACTCAAATATCGAAACATATAAACGAAATAATATCGAACGAAATAAACGTCAACATATAAACCAAGCTGAAAGCTTAAAAGGCTTAAATATTTCAATCAGTTCCCATAATGCCTCAATGTGTGACTCACCTTACGGAGCAGTCCGGGGTATGGGTGGCTGAGAAGAATCCACCTGTATTTATGCTCTGACCTAGTATGCAAATGAGGCAATGTGGGTGTCGCCCGGAGGACGGCTGTCATGTGTGTGTGAGTGTGTGTGTACACACTGACTCAGGGGAACTTGATCACGGAACATCAAGAGAGGGTTAACTTCCATTTATGTTCCATATTTCATGTTTATTCATATTCAATGGTTCAGTCACGATTTTCTGTATTTGGACATTCTTGTACGCTGCGTTAGACACCAGGGACGGACAAGATCGGCACTGATTCGATGTTTGTAGAACGTGTTCTCCTGATTCGTTCGGCTCGATCTCAAATTCACCCCTGGATATGGTCGTGTAAAACGACCCCCTCTTACTCTCCTAGAAATCGTAATCGTTCCCCGAATAGCGATTTTTGGATTTTACTTAGTTCTTTTTCTTTCCTTCTGGACCAGACAATACCTGAATATTTTAAGCAACGATCCCCGCTGTTGATGACAGGCAATCAACAATGTCTCCGAGCAGTTCCAAGGGCGGATCCAGTATTTTTAAAAGGGAGGGTTCCAAAATATCAAAATACTCTCTGTAGATAATTTTACTGCCTACAACATACTTCAATTGGTTTTCAAAAAGGGGGTGGGGCGGACCCCTCTGATCCTCCCTCTGGATACGCTACATGAGTTTAGACGCCTCTCAACTCGGCGTCTCCTGGGGTTGATCGACAAGGGATTAAACATAGATCCTTCAAGTACTTCTTGTCAGAGTTGAATATAAACAAAGAGACAAAACACTTTCCATATACAATAGAAATATCTGCAAAAAGCAGAGTCGATTGCACAATTCCGACAAGATCATGAGCATGTGTTTATGAATCACTATCAAATCGTGATGATACCAGAACCGCATATTCAATTTAAGCGGTCACGCAAATGCAAACGTGCTGTATAAGAACACGATTCCCAAGCCCTTTACAAATTTAATGTTTGTCAAAGAACACACGGGTGCATATCAATATCACGTTACTGTTTGTAAGGACACGGAGTTTTTAATTAATATGCCCTCAGTCAGTTTGACTGTACTTGAGCAGGCAATCTCACCGTATCAGATCAAAAACATACGTATATTGTAGCATCAGTCAGTGATGTTAGGTTTGAGTGAGTGAGTGAGTTGGGTTTAACGCCGCTTTAAACAGAATTCCAGTTATATCACGGCGTGTCAGCTTAATGTGGGAGGAAAGCCCGAAGTGATGCAGGTCTCAGGCGTTTACCACTTCGGTGAAACCCACGGGCATGGTGCTGACAAACCTAGAAACGTAATCGGGGCGAACCTGGATTCGAACCCACAATCATAGGTCTCTGGTGTGCCCAAGGGACGCAGCTCTGCACAGACGACTGGGCAAACCGTGCCCCGTTAAGTTTGAGGGTATGTTAATAATGTCACGGGACCTGTTTAAAGAGGCAGGGTGAGTGAGTGAGTATTGTTCTACACGGATTTTGGCAATATTCCTGCATGCCACGGCAGAGTGCACAAGAAATGGGCTTCACACATTGTACCGATGCAGGGAGTGGAACATGGGTCTTCGAGGCAGGGAACATAAGGTTGTTTGTTTGTTTGTTGTTTAACGCCGCACTCAGCAATATTACAGCTATATGACGGCGGTCTGTAAATAATCGAGTCTGGACCAGACAATCCAGTGATTAATATCATGAGCATCGATCCACGCAATTTGGATCGATGACATCCATCAACCAAGTCAGCGACCCCGACCACCCGATCCCGTTAGTCGCCTTTTACGACAAGCACAGTCGCCTTTTACGGCAAGCATGGGTTGCTGAAGACCTTTTCTACCCCGGAATCTTCACGGGTCCTCACTCACATAAGAGAGCTACAAACGAATCAGAATGAAAAGCAGGAGAGTGCGTTGAGTTGTTCACGCATTTAAGTCCAAAACATTAAGTCGACAATAACAGTGAGGTGAAATGAGGTTTAACGTCGCGTCCAAGATTTTTGCACTTATATAGCGACGTGCATGCACGTGTGTGTGGGTGGCTGCTGTTGATTTATAATGCTAGCCCACTGAGATACCATGCCGCGGTTTAAAATGAATACCCCACTCAGACACAGTATACTGACTCCGAGCCGACCAGTCCTTGTTTTAGCCCCTTAATGCCGAGCGCCAGACAGGGTAACAACAGGTTCCATCTTTGAACGTCTTATGACACGGTCGGGGATCGAACCCCGGACCTTCAGCTTTCTGGGCGGACGCTCTGCCACAAGACTACGGAGGCAGTCGCTCAATAAACGATAACTGTTAAAGTTCCTTGTCATATTTAAGCAACTTTATAATTTGACACTTACAAGTGGGCCATTATCCTACCTACCAATTCCTTACTTACACGACAAGCATCCGGGATAAGAACACAGGACATGCAGTGAGTGAGTGAGTATGGTTTTACGCCGCTTTTAGCAATATTCCAGCAATATCACGGCGGGGGACACCAGAAATGGGCTTCACACATTGTACCCATGTCGGGAATCGAACCCGGGTCTTCGGCGTGACGAGCGAACGCTTTAACCACTAGGCTACCCGACCGCCCCACAGGACATGCAGAGTCTTGCAACAGTGCTCCAGCGCTCCAGATAACTTTTTGAGCAATCGAGTTTTTACTCTAGGGATTCTATTTTAATTCGGTTATTACATTTTTCATTGGGTAACCAATATTTTTTAGTCATCTATTCATCACTCAAATGGGTTTTTCCCCAAATTAGTGAACATTTTAAGATTTAAAAAGAATGAAATAATGTTTAAGATGTACATAACTGTTCTTAATAAATAGGCTTGACTCAGAAAGTAAATTAGCTCGTAATTGTGTTTCGGAAATAAGCTCCTTTGTACGCATGCTGAAAAAGCTTCATTGGGAATT